CTGCTTCTATTCCCAAACACACCTGAGTTTTCTGATTACGTGTCACCTTCAATTTTGCCAAGCACCTGAGTGCAAAGCCCTGCTGCCTTTTAGCTCCATAAAGATAACCCCAAACTCCTTCGTTTTATGATGGTATGAGAGGGAAGAGAGAAACCACCTGAACCATTTGTCTTCTTCCAGTTCTGTCTGACACATGTGCACCATAAAATCTGATCTCTAATAGGGGATGACACAGGCAGCAAAAGCAGGTATGCATCATATCTACCAAATCTCAACCCATTCTTTCACTCCCACCTTTCAGGGCAGAGATTTCTCTTTTCACAAGTAATTATTTCCAAACTAGGTATGTATCTATGAGACAAAAATGCAGACCTACTGATTATTCTATCCAGCCATTATTTCCTTTTTCCATCAGCAGCCCCATGGAATAAAAAAATAATGCTATGCTTACCCAGGGCACTGTTTTGCAGCACCTTGAACCACTCACAATTTGAAACAGGTTACAATCTGCACCTTCAGCATAATAATGAAATAAACAACACCTTAAAAAGGACGTACAGATGTCCAGATGCAAGTTTCATTCTTTTACTGAGGTCTACATGGCACTAATCTCTTTGCTTTTACCTGGATGAAGTATTAGTCATCTGAGGCATTAGTAAAAGACAACAGTAGAAAATACAAAAAGCAAAATACACTGGAGAGCCAGTTTAGTACCTTGAACAATATTGGACTGCAAAATGCATTTAGCTTTTCTAGTTGCGTAATATTTTCAGGTATATTTTTCTAATTAATGATTATAGCCATTTTTCTACCATACTTGAGAAAAATAGTATGTTTTTTTTCTAACCCATATAAAAGTTCTGCTACAATGTATATGAACTTCTGGCTGAAGAGACTGGACATACTGAATAAACCAAGTAGACTTCTTTGAAAGAGAAGCTTTAGTTAAAGAACTCTATATCACAGCAGACAGGCTTGCATTTGGAATAGAGCATGTGGTGGGTACCAACCCCCTGCCCTGGGCAGGGACACCTCCCACCAGCCCAGGTTGCTCCAAGCCCCATCCAGCCTGGCCTTGAACCCCTCCAGGGATGGGGCAGCCACAGCTTCTCTGGCCAACCTGGGCCAGGCTCTCACCACCCTCACACCAAAGAAGTTCTTCCTAATATCTAACCGAAATCTCCCCTCTTGGTTTAAAACTGTTCCCCCTTGTCCTATGGTTCCCTCCCCATCTCTCCTGAAGGCCCTTTAGGGACTGGAAGGGGCTCTAAGGTCTCCTGGAGACTTCTCTTCTCCAGGCTGAACAACCCCAACCCTCTCAGCCTGTCCTCACAGCAGAGGGGCTCTAGCATCCAACTTCTTTGGCTCATTTGAGTCCAAGCTATTCTGTTGTAACGAGCCTGATGATCAAAAATTTAGGTGACATTCAACAAAGGCTTGCATGACCATCTATCTTCACGTTGGCAAATTATTTATTTAACCTTAGCTGCTTGGTTGACTTCTACAAGAAACAGACAGTGTCTACTACATACAACGAAATTAAACAGGATGAATCCCACCCCATATCCTACGTCAAAGTCTAACTGCACCACTCATTTCAGGAGAAACGTGAGCACTCACATTTGGATTTGGACTTAATGCTTACATAGAATATTAAGAATTACATATAACTTGGTATTTTGATTAAAAAAAAGAACCCAATGCTATTCAGTGTATAGTTTTTGTGATAGAAATATTTTAAAGTTTTAAAAATGGAAAATTAGTGTACAGAAAGTAACATGATATAAAAACGTAATGCTAGGCAAGCTATGTATCAGCAATTACTGCCTCTCAAATACCACACAGTATGCCTGCCTTTTTCTATTTTCCAAACTATTTTCTGGTTTTTAGTTTTCTTTTTCAGAATTCTTGGAATTAACACCTGGAGGGTTAGAAATGGGCACGGAAACAACATGCACTTTCCGTTTCTGGTCCTCTATCTTTGAGACAGTTATCATAAAGGAAGATCTGCCATCACGGTGAGGAGCTCAACATTTGAAAAATAATCCATCATCCACAGTATCATTCAGAAATCTTGTATCTTAAAATTGTATCTGCTTTGCAGTAGGAATCCAATCGGGGAACAGAAGATTTCTATTCCATAGGAAGATAAGGTTCAGTTACTGTATTCTTATAAACTGTATTTATGAAGCGTGAAAGGTTCCAATTGCAGATAAAAATGAAAAGTACATATCCAACATCAATAAAAATTAAGGGATCCAATTGAGTTTATATTAATATACTTTTGCCTGGTGTGAGCAAAACGCTGGAGGGTGAGCTTCACTTTAAGTACATGCTGAAATTCTTAGATGAATTAAAGCAAACTACTAACTTGCTGGAGAGTTTACTGCCATACAACTCATCTGAACTGGGGGAAAAAAATCAGGATAACTAGACTGTTTTACCTACTCCTTAGTTACTTTTATTTTCTATATTAACACATGGGAATATTGGTCCAAAATATTAAACAAAATTCTATTATTCATATATTTCACAGTAATTTGTCATATTCTAGGATTAATGGATTTAGCCAATAAGGGAAAAACGTAAAAATACACAAAGTAATCTCTGTACTTTTCTGGTGTAGTTCATTAGATACACTCTCCCACAGTCAATCTGTTTTTTTAACTTGTAAAGCCAGGGGCATAGATAGCTCTTCAAAACCGTGGGTCACAGACAGATAAGTTTGTTCCAAGAGTACACGGATACAAACTCCCTAAAATCAGTCAGAATTTTAAAGTGAAAACTTTTCAATATTTATCAAAGGATGTATCCACAAACCTCCATGACCTGTGCTAAGCATGCTTCCTATTAACGAGATAACTGAATTTTAAGTTGCATATTCTGGAATGCAAACACTTCACAAATTATTTGTAGCTTAGCTCAAGTCTTAATGAGGAAGTTAAAATAAAAATGTTGAGATATCCAGAGGATTCACTTAGAAAAATTAAACAGGATTTTGTTTTCACTTCAAGTCAATGTTGGAAAACATCTTCAACTTCTAAAAAAAATTATAATTATACAAAAAAAACCCCATAGACATTTGCTTGGATGAATAAGCTATGTTTTCAATTTCTGTTTTTCACCAAATGTTTAAGAGTTAATTGCAAGCTAACCTGAGTACATGCCTCAGGTGATTTCTTTATTTCTCTTCTGTGAGAACAACAACAAAAAAGAAACAAACAACAAAACAAAACATAAAGAAAACAGGTATTTGCACACCCCTAACCACAACTAATTAATATTCAGAGTCCCCAAAATCCTTTTGCAATTAGTAGTTTTGCTTAAATAACAAAACAGGATTAGGATACTTGTCAGCTAATGAAGTTTCATTTATATAAAGTATTATCCTTTTGTGAATTCTAATTTAAGTGTTTATGAAGAAATATTTTTAAAGCTGTCATTTGGTGTATTTCAAACTGATACCGTATTGTTAGTTTTGATTCTAAAACAAGACAAAAAATATTTTAGTCCTTTTTAGATGAATGCTCACCCAAGACTAACACCACACAAAGTCAGAAAAGAAAGTCCCATAAGCTTTGGTCAGATTATATATGAAAGTCCTGTTTGAGACCATGGTTTGTGGTTGCTTGATCAAGACATGTTAATCTTCCAAGAAACGCTTCTAATGCTGAATGAGGAAAATATTTAAAAAATAATTACTGTATAAGTTTTAAAAGAAAAAGAATAGAAAAGAGAGGATCTACAACATTTCAATAGCAGAAGGCAGAGTCACAACTTAGTGGGAGGAAGCACAAGCAGAGCAGGGAAGTCTCCTTACATAAAGATGGCTCTAAATTCTTGATCACTGGAGAATTAAATTGTTTCTCTGAGTGAACAGAAATGGTTGTTGAAAATAAAGTGTTAAAGGGAACCTTCCTACATGCTTTATCATAAAATCTTTCCGTGTTTCCTGTTGCATAATATTAAACACACATTTCCTCATCTGTAAAGTTGGGAGGCATTTTGAGGCTCTTGGTAGTAGAAAGTCTGAAAAATTTGTACTCTGGACTGATAATGGCTAAGATTTACAGCAATAACAAATGCAAAGTAATTAAAATGAGGCAGATGGAGAGCTGTAGGTAACAGACTTAACCTGAAAAAGGATTTGGTCCTGAAGCTGAAAAGTTCAAGTAACAAATGCATTTTACTGTCCTGAATTTTAGTCCACATATGCTAAATATGAAGAAACAGAATAAATATATAAAATCAAAAGACTTATTTATTTTTTCTTTTCAATAAATGAATACAAGTCTCTGTTCTCTCAGAAATTGTCTCCCACTCCACAGGCACCTTCCCTGCAGTATTAGATACAACTTTCTTCAGTCGGTCCAGGAGGTACAAATGAAGGTTTCCATTTCTTTATGGGGAGGTGGGCATGGGCTAAAGCAGGATGAGATTATTCCCACTCTATTCTGCTCTTCATCTCCTACTCATTGCAACAAACTAAACACAAGCTTAAGTGTCGGATAACTTTTGCATCATGAAAATTAATATTATAACATGAAACATGAAATCTAGTTCTGAAAGAAGATAATTCATCATTCTGTCCAGTTTTATTAGATCTAAATAGAGATGAACACAATTCTTTGTGGGTCCAGCTGGATACTGAAGTTGTACTTCCTGCGCAGCCAATTTATATGTTGCAATAATTGTTTTAACTAATTATTTAAAGTATTTTCCAAATTATATACCATGATCTTAAAGCCTATGCAGTCTATTTACTATACAGTCTGATAATTTAAGTTTTGTCCATAAGGAAATTTTCTTTCATGTTATACCTCTTTTTTTTGAATTTGCTGTTTAAGCGCGGTGCCAGCATTGCCTGGGTTCTTAAACCTGCATATTCCAGACAATGATCCAGTTATTACATTTTAGGAAACAAATACGTACAGACAAAACACTCTCCAACACCACTTTTTGGCCCTTCTATCAAAGAAAAGATGAAAAGATGACAGTACCTGGTGAGCTTCCAACAGCCGCTCCGCAAACTGACGGACTTCAGGGAGTAGAAGAGATATTAAAGAATTTCTTAGCACCTTGTTCCTTGCCAGCAAGCCCAGTGTGTGCGACACAGCGTGCAATGCCTGAAACTGAAGAGAAAGAACAGTCAATTTAATTTTTCAAAACATGTCTCTGTTGTTTTTCACCCCCCAAAAAATACCATCGTGCCCAGCTGCTGTCACAGAAAGGAGGCGACCCACCCTGCAGAGCCAGGAACTCTGGTTGTCACAGGCAGACAAATGAACAAACCAATTCTTTGAAATTCAAACACAAGTTAAGGGCAACACTGGAGTTTTCTGGAATTAATTTGATTAAATGCTAACTGATAGAAGGTACACTATATTTTCAAATTCAAACAATTCATTGTCAACTTGCTGTAACCAAGGCAAAGTGATGTGAACTTCCATGAGAATTATATCACGATATTATTTTGTAAAACACTACTAAAAGAAATTACCATTTCTATATCCAGATGTACTGGAGTTCTTGGAAAGAAAAAAGGAATACGCATGAAATATAATTACTATATTTTCATATCAGTGTATACTCCTACAACATTACGTGAAATATAATTACTATAATTTATGTTTTCATATCAGTGTATACTCCTACAACATTAATATTCACTATCTCTTTGTAAATGAGTATTTTTGACCAACAAAAGGATACTCTGGCCCAAATTTGCATGTCTAAAAAGACTTTCCACGTCTTAACCAGTCCAAAGCAGACCACCACATCCAATTAACAGCACGGATTTATTAAGGGAATTTATGGATTTATTATGAGACAATCTCCTATTCACAGTCACAACAATCAAACTTTAATAAACCTTTGATGCTAATCATCTCACTTCAGCATGTAATCCCAAAACAAATATAAATAGAAAACTATAAAAGACATTAAATACACACAGAACAAGTTTATAGCACATAAGTAATAAATCTGTAAATAGTAAACGGAAGTAAGACTTTGTGTTTCAAAGCAAGGCTCATGTATTGCTAATTAAACGCTGGAAACATTCACACTGATAATACTTCAAACAGGATGGAGTTTCATTAAAGATAAAAGCCTATCTTCACCGCTCCAATCTATCAAAAGTTAAAAAAGGAACAGAAACCTTTTAATCCCCTGGGCTTGCTTAATGGTATAGATGAAACAAAATCTATGCTCTTCAGGGATTTTCAGGTAAACACAAAATGAGATTGTAAAAAAACATATGAACTGAAACAAGAAAGTAATGGAGCCTGGTTCCCTGTTCAGGAGCTGCGTTATCTGTCCCTAACCCTCTTCCTCATCCTCCTCCCTGATTTCTGCTCCTTCCCAGAGTTCAAGATGCCAGCAACGCCATGTGGATTGTCCACCCAGCTTTTGATAAAATGAATATATAACATCAATGATCTGCTTGCCTCAAACATACTAATTCCATCTCTCCTTCACTCAACCACCAATGTTAAAGCCCATCGGAAAGTATTTTTGACCTTCTACTTCCTTCCAAGTGATTTCAAACTGGTTATTGGTTTCAAAAGTTCCTACAAGAGGAAAATAGTGATGAGCAAAACAAACAGTGCACTTGTATGAGCCTTGTTTCCCCAGGAAACCAAGATAAAAAGTCTTTGGCAGAAGAGAGAAAGAAAGAAAGAGCTTTTGATATATATTTCCTACCATATTCTTGTGCTAAGGCCCCTCCCATTGATTTAATTTGTAAATCAAGAAAAGAGCAAAGGCCTATCCTTTTTTTTTTTTCTCCCCTCTTCCTAGTGGAAATAATCTGTAATACTCTGAATACTAGTTAATTATTTGGATAAAACCAGGCAATGCCAGCATCTGTTTTTAGGAAAGGGGATGGTGCTGACAAAACAGTATTACAGGCAGGTTGGAAACTGTGAATTTCACTTTTTTTGCTCTAATGGTGAAAAAAAAAATAGATGCTGCTCAGTTCATCCTGTAACTGTTGAATAATTGTAGCTTTAGTGCACAATGTGTATCAGCTGAGGAGGGAAGGTGGACAAAAGAGGCAGATAAAACATAGTCTTTCATTCATTCCTGCCTGGTCCCTCCTATGATCCACTTCCCTGAAGTAAATGAGAATCAGTCAATTTGGTGATTGCTTTAGACTGCAGTGATTTACAAGACAATGGATTTTGATTTCCATTTGACTTAAATAGCTCTCTACGTAGAGACAACAGATTGTGGTGAAAATTTAATTCAACAGTCAAGAGATTCACGCATTGACTCTTACTAGACCATAAAATCCTGGGGATGCATTTTAATATTCATATGAACAAACTGGTCTTTCACTATATAAGCAAAATTCTTTGGCAGGTGAAAATGCACCCATGTATCAAAAGCCGTGATATTCCCCTTGGGACTCTATTAATTTAGGAAAACTGAAGCCCACTGGTTTTATACTTGGGAACCACCAGTGACGTGAATTACTATTTTTAAAACTTCTTTGTCCTTGAGCAGACAAGACTCTTGTGAACTGAGGAGTTAAGTACCGTCCTGACAAAAGATACTGCAGACTATAAACGGGGGAATTTATTGTCACCCACAACTGGTTGGAGAATGCTTTAAACACACACTGGTGCATGTATTAAAACCAGAGTAAGTTTATGATTACTCTCCTCCAGACATTTTCAGTAATTAATGAATTGTACAAATCATATCTCAGATAAGAAAAGATTCAAACCCATGGTTCTGACTAATGTGTATTTTTTCAATTGCACAACCACATTTCATGTATTTTATAATATAATTGCCAATGAGAGGCAAACATTTCTCTCTCTCTGCTGTTCACTGTACTACATTTCAGCTTGTTCTTAGCATGAAGAATTGGGAATCCTTTCTCACATCAACATCCGGCAAAGGCATTAAACTACTACCCAGAATTCTTGCATTTGCTTTTCTGCTAAATACTTCAACAGTAATATTTGAGCATTTGCAAAATTCTACGTCAAGACGTTTAGATGGAACATAAGAGAGAAAAATGGGAACAGGCAGTAAAGTCCCTGTTGACCATCTCTTGCTGGAAAGAGATTGAGCACGGTGGGGCAGATGGATGAGGTATTTGTTGAAGAGCAAAAGTGCAAGAAAACAGGCTCTTCTGAGCACCCTACAGAACTCAACTTTAGAATCCTGAAGAATCCTGTACAATCATCATCTTGGACAAGAGGTCCAAGAAACAGACACAGATCTCTGTTCTGAACCCAGGGTGGAGGCCAGGATCTTCGAGACTGAGGGGGCATCTCATCAACACCTATAAATACTTAAAGGGTGAGTGTCAGGAGGATGGGGCCAGTCCTTTCTCAGTGGTGCCCAGGGAGACGACAAGAGAAAATGGGCACAAACTTGAACATAAAAAGTTCCATCTAAACATGAGGGGGAACTTCTTTCCTGTGAGGGTGGCAGAGCCCTGGCAGAGGCTGCCCAGAGAGGTGGGGGAGTCTCCTTCTCTGGAGACATTCCAACCCCCCCTGGACACGTTCCTGTGGGACCTGCTCTGGGTGACCCTGCTCTGGCAGGGGGTTGGACTGGATGGTCTCCAGAGGTCCCTTCCAACCCCGACCATTCCATGATTTCATGACTCAAAAATTGGTGACAATCTAAGTCCTCGCTCCATAGATGAGCGGTGACTACTCAAAAATTGGTGACAATCAAAGTCCTCGCTCCATAGATGAGCGGTGACTATCATAGATTTTGCAACATCAGAGCAACAGCTCATCTGTACCAGAATTAGACACAGGATCCTCACAAGCTTTTCTGTGGCAGCCCCAGAGGGGTGGAACACCACGCCAGCAGAAGGTGCAGGGACAAGCCTTTGAGCAGCTGTCAGAACCTCAGAGTGTTCATGCTTCACCCTTGGCAGCTGTGACTCCAGGCTCCTTCTAGGTATTTTCAGAAGGCTCCTTCCCAAAGACTGTGTCTGAGAGCTGTGTGCAGAATTCCAAGCTGCTCTCCAAACATTGAGGGGAAGGAAAAAAATTAAAAAGGGAAATTCAAAAAGCTACTTTTATTTGTAGTTCTTTGATTTAAACGGGTTTATATTTTAAGTAATATGTCCTTTTATTTGACCTTTCAAACCTCAAACGATAGGTTTTTTTTGGTCCTTGTGACACTCGTGTCAATATGGAGTTTCAGGTCAAAAATTCTCTGCAAAGTGCACAGCTTTAGGCAACTGAATCCAAGCAGAAGAGCTCTGAGCACATCTTTGCTGGTTCCTATAGCTTCCAGTGCTTTATAATTAGAAACATCTCAAACAATAGGACTCAACAGTTACAGCAAGCAATTCGGCTGCTGTTTTTCTTCCTTTACACCTAATGTAGAGATAATTATCTCTTTTCCAATTCTCAAAGTTTTTTTTCAGTTATTTAATTTGCTCTGCAGAAGGCTGGGATTACTTTTGAAGATGAGGCATCCGCAGCCATTTCTCTCTTTGTTCACTTTTTTAAGGTGTTTCTCCCAGTGCTTTGTCCTCCTTGACAGCTCCTGACAGTTTTGTAGGTGAGGATGGCAAAGGGAAAGTCGTGTCAAATACTATGGTTGCACTGGTGTCTGTCTCCACAAATGCTTTTTGACAGTTAGGAAGGTTAGATACAACAAAATTCCTAATGTTTTTATATTGGAGGGATTTAAGCACCCTCCTGGAACCAAAATTCATACAGTTTGCCACTCCTTCCAGATGACAGCCTTATAATTAATGGTAATTTTATTTTAAACCTATAATCTTGATATTTCAATCACTACTTGAGTAAACAGTGATGATTAAAAGTGAAGCATAAAGTGTCCCTGGGAGATATCTGGTACACTGCACATGAAGAATTAGTTATACAATTTCTACTGCTAATTCTGAATTCTACATATTTATTTCTGTATTCAATTCAGAGAAAAGCAAAACTTGAAAAAAGGATTTTTCAATATGTCTTTATAAACATTGCAATTACTACACACAACATCTGCCCTTTTTTCCCCAGAAATCTGGAAACTATCACGATTCTCCCTTAATAATTGGTTTATACAATTTTTAAACTCTTTAAATCTGTTTGATTGAAATAATGGCTGCTGATAGGAACGACTGTTAAGTCAATATTTTGGTGGAAGCAAGATATAAGACATCTCATAAAAAGCCATCTGTTTCAGTGAAGTTATTCAGAGAAAAGATGCCACTTGCAAATTTCGGGGACATACTTCACCCTTTCTGAATGATTTATAAAAGCACTTTCCAGACTTGAAACATCCCTGACCTACCAGGGTATTTTCTCTCATTTAAAATGTGACACCTCTCACCTAATCCTCCTATCAACAGGTAATCCCTCTCTGGAAAACTTGTTTGCTCTCCTACAATTAACATTATTTTAATTCTTTATTAACTAGAGAAGTGGAACAGGTGGAAACAACCAACATCATCGACTATGAATAAGTCTTTAATGAATGATTGCTCAAGTTTTCTTTGTTCTGTATCCTGGAATCACACAGGAAAAAAATAAAAGGAGTGACACCTGTATGACTTGTTGCAACACAAATAGTACCAGTTCTCACATCCTTTCAAAAACACTGGCCAAAGACATCTCTAATTGAAAACTTAAGTATCACACCATGACGACAATGGAATATAAAGCAGCCTGGGATTAGAGACACCAAACTGCAGTCCTGGAAATGCTTCAGTAGAGGAAGATTTCCTTCTGAATTTTAAAGAGTTTTTTAAAGTTCTATATTCAGGAACAGACTAGAACTCACGTGCATGAGCAAGAACTTTTTCAAATGCTTTAGAGCGTTTCTCGTCCATATCACAAAAAAAGAACAGTCACAAAAATTTCTGAGAAGTACTCTTCAAAATATAGTAAGATAAACTAATATTAAAAAAGTGCATAAACCCAGGAGAATATTACAATGTACTGAAATGGTGTAGGAAACATGGAAGATATTTTAAACTTACCCTATTGACACCGCTGCTTCTTAAAATAATCTTAATCAGATTTTTCTTAAATTCTTCCAGCTTCTTGAAACACTTCTTCAAAACATGATTAGATAATTTACTATCAGTTATTAAACTGATCAAAACACGAACAGCTTCGCTAAGAAGATTTGAAACTGGAATTTTAGGGCTGTTGTAAAAAACAGTCAGTCCGTCAAGCAAGCGAGACACTGAATTGCATATGGTGAAAGAATCGTTCTCCAGCTCCGTGAAGTCTGCTTGAAGAATTCCTGCTTCTGACAGTTTTCTTATTTCAAGCAGATGTTGCAAAAACTGTACGGGAGCAGCCAGGGATTCCTCCTTGCTCGTACAGCAAAGATCCAACGGGGGAACTCTTTCCAACCAACGGTTAGAATGGAATAGAAAACAGCCTGGGATTAGAGACACGAAGCTGCAGTCCTGGAAATGCTTCAGTAGACGAAGATTTCCTTCTGAATTTTAAAGAGTTTTTTTAAAGTTCTATATTCAGGAACAGACTAGAACTCACGTGCATGAGCAAGAACTTTTTCAAATGCTTTAGAGCATTTCTTGTCCATATCACAAAAAAGAACAGTCACAAAAATTTCTGAGAAGTCCTCTTCAAAATATAGTAAGACAAACTAATATTAAAAAAGTGCATAAACCCAGGAGAATATTACAATGTACTGAAATGGTGTAGGAAACATGGGAGATATTTTAAACTTACCCTATTGACACCGCTGCTTCTTAAAATAATCTTAATCAGATTTTTCTTAAATTCTTCCAGCTTCTTGAAACACTTCTTCAAAACATGATTAGATAATTTACTATCAGTTATTAAACTGATCAAAACACGAACAGCTTCGCTAAGAAGATTTGAAACTGGAATTTTAGGGCTGTTGTAAAAAACAGTCAGTCCGTCAAGCAAGCGAGACACTGAATTGCATATGGTGAAAGAATCGTTCTCCAGCTCGGTGAAGTCTGCTTGAAGAATTCCTGCTTCTGACAGTTTTCTTATTTCAAGCAGATGTTGCAAAAACTGTACGGGAGCAGCCAGGGATTCCTCCTTGCTCGTACAGCAAAGATCCAACGGGGGAACTCTTTCCAACCAACGGTTAGAAGTGTTGACATCGGGTTCAGACTGGGGAAAATCAGAAGCTGTGCCTAAAGAATCGAAGGCGCAGTCATTAGAGACATCACATCCGGAGTCTTCCAGCTGGCTTGAGTTACTCAGAGGGTTTATACGTTCCTCATCCAGAAGAGTTTCAGCAGAAGCATCTGGTTTTCCTGAAACAAACGCAAAAGTTACGTTTCTGCAATACTTAAACACATGCTTATAGAAAGCCTCATCATGGACCAGCTGGAACAGGTGCAGCAGAGAGCTATGAAGATGATCAGAGGGATGGAGCACCTCTCCTATGAAGACAGGCTGAGGGAGCTGGGATTGTTCAGCCTGGAGAAGAGAAGGCTCCAGGGAGACCTTATAGCGGCCTTTCAATACCTGAAGGGTGCCTATAGAAAAGCTGAGGAGGGACCTTTTGCCAGGAGGTGTAATGATAGGACAAGGGGAAACTGTTTTAAATTGGAAGAAAAAAAGATTCAGATTAGATCTCAGGAAGAAATTTTTTACTATGAGGGTGGTGAGACACTGGAACAGGTTGCCCAGAGAAGCTGTGGCTGCCCCATCCCTGGAGGGGTTCAAGGCCAGGCTGGATGGGGCCTTGAGCAACCTGCTCTAGTGGGAGGTTGGAACTTGATGATCTTTGATGTCCCTTCCAACCCTAACCATTCTATGATTCTATGACCTATCCTTTCTCCTTTTGCTTCCATGCAAAAATCATGGCATACATGTTATGCTTGCTCCCCAAGAGCTTCCTATGACTAGGATTTAGCTGTGGAAGAAGGAGACATTTTTAAATTAAAGTCAAAACTTTGAGACACTAGCATCTATTTGTGAACAAGATGGTTTATGCCTACAGTAATAGGAACAGTAATTTTGAGTTGAAAATTCCCGATGTCTTAAGTTTGCACATATATAACTTAAGTGGACGTCACACAAACAATTTAAGTGGACATCTATACTCCCGTTAATTCCCAGGGAAGGAAATGCATGTAAATTTTTGGGGCCCCTAACATTTTCACTACTTCCATTCTCAAGAAATCAGATGCTTTTAAAAGACAGTGAAGGTCTGATATTACAATAACTGCATCCAATAATATCTTCTCCTTTACATGTTCTCTTTTTCCCCACGTCAGGTAAGGAATTTTAACAAAGTTGAACAGAACATTAGAGGCAGCATACTCCATGAAACACTCCTACCAGCAGGAGACAATATTGTATTTATGCTTAGGTTCCTCCTCACTGAGATATCAAACTCCTGTCCCATGATGAGCTTCCTGTTTTTGTTAAGTCCCCAATAGCAGTGTATTTCCAGTCCAACGAATAATACAAAAAGGCAAAATACTCTAAAAGTGTTCAGTAATTTATATGTTCTAGTCATTTGGGGAGGAGGTAAAAGTTATCTTTTAAAAAAATTAATTGCCCACCAGGAAATACTCATTATTTCTCTCAAAATGCCTAGAAACAGCTTATCTTCTTGAAAGAAGGTAAACTAATGCCTCTGTACTTACCTACTATTTAAATGAGAAACCAGTTTTGATGTTCACACCATGTGGTTATTAAGTACAAAAAAAAAAAAAAAAAAGAAAAACAGCATTCCACACACTAACAATAATCTTTAGCCAGCAATTTCAAGAACATTTGACACAAATATACTGGAACAAGAAATAAAAAAAATTAGTGCAGATGATAAACTAACCACAAAATCTTACAATGCCTTTATATAGGTAATGAAATATCTAGTCACGAGCAATTTTACAGCCTCCTTAAATATGTCAGGAAATATTTAAAGTCTTAATTCTTATTTAGGACTTAAACTCCGTACTACATTGACATCCTGAGCTCAAAATCAGAATCGTGTGCTCCCCAAACAAAGCAAGGTTCACGAGAACAGCCTTGGGGTGCGAAGCCTGAAGAACTGACATCCCTCCCCACATAAAATCTGTTACAATTAACAGGCTCAGTTCCACTTCTTAAAAGAAAAAAGACAATTAAAAAAATGAAGCAATCTTAGAAACCTCTCTGATGATCCTGCATTCTGCTTTCCAAGTAGGTGTTCAGTCAATTTCTAAAAGGAAATGAAACCATGGGATATTATGCATAATTTTTTTCTCATTGTGTTCACTTCTCCACCTCTGTTTTCCAGGGCTCCTTGTTATTCTTCACTTAATCTTTATTGATTGGTTTGTTACAAGTGCATTTTCCATCAACGATGAATCAAGTTTATTCTATTCTTAAAAAAAAAAAAAAGTCTCCTCACACATATTAAGTGTTTTCTTCTCGTTTTCCTCATGTGTAGGCCTGTCTCTATCCTGCTGTTTTCATTACTAAGCTGGCTGAGAAAATTCAGGAATGTCTCATCTAGGACTAGTGTCACAGAAATGAATATAGGGCTGAGTATCTAAAATTCTCAAATTACTTGTGCAATGCCAGGATTTAAATGTTTCTCAGAAGGTTTAGAAGCATATACTTCAATTTGTTAGGGATTTTGCTTACATAAAGCATCTAAATGTTTAGAACTCGGTAAGAACCAAGAAGGATTTTAAGGATATAAAAATTCATTTTTAAGGGATTTCTGTAGAGGACACCACAAATCTTTTGTGCTTCAAGTCAAGTATAGAATACTTGCAGCAAAGATGCAGAAAGATCAATAATCAAGTAATGAACATAGAGATTTGGGTCAGTTAATGCTTGTCAAGCAGCTTTCACAACAAAAGACCTAACAATATTGACCACCTCAATGAGATGGCTGAAATTTGAGTTTTAAGCCAGACAGGGGACAGGAGACTTACAGGCAAGAAGATCCTAATTGACACGGCCACACCTCTTAACTAGTTTTTACCATATACATTCATTTTCCCCAAAACTATCATTCTGTTGCTCAGAAGAAAGGAAATGTATCTACAGTAAATTATGAATCTTCTTCCTTAAAACCACTATGTATCTTATTAGGAACTGGATCTATACAGGGAATTTATAAAATAATAACAAACCCTTTCTCTTGCAGGAAAAACTGGGTTGGTTTTGCCTCCGAATGGGTCCCCGATACAGAAACCTGGAAATAAAAGATGCTTCTTGGGTCCCTTTGCCCCAAAAATGTGCTTAGAACAGCTGTGGCAATGCCATCTGATAAGACAGAGAGCATCTGCTTTCAAAGGGAGAAAGTTTCCACAACCAAAACAGGTCTGTTATCCATGGAAGGAGCAGTACTCTGAGATTTCAATGAATCATTACACTCCAGCTGGTGCTTTTTCCAGATTGCAAATTAACTTATTCAATTATCCTGAAAAGGCCTCAGCTTTCATAAAGTTCCCCATTGTGTCACTACAATTACGGGGAACAGATTTATCTCATCATCATATTCCAGAAGCCACGTTCCCATAAATCTGTGCTAAACGCATTTTAACTCCATTTTTGTCATTTCACGTATTTGTTCTCAATTCCCTGCTCCCTTCCTCAAAAAAAAAAAAAAACAAAAACATTTTTAGGTTGAGGAAGGATGGGAGTACACTAGAACACTTAGGATGTCAAATGACAGTTCAATTTTGTCTGTCTGACACCATCATGCCTTGGAGAAAAGGCTGAGATGACAGACTGGGCTGTCCTTATGGATCTGTACGGAGAGAGAAACATCTTTTTGGGGTGGGGAACACCACAGAGGGAGGGAGGAAGAATCCCTTCATGCAAAAACATCACATCCCTAAGCACCAGACAAAAATAAGCAGATCTGTTTTCCATGGTGACATCTAACTAAGTGTTGACTGCTGCCCAACAGGGAATCCTCTCACCTTTGAAAAAGGAGGCTAGAAAAAGAAAGGAGACAAAAACACCCCTCAGAGGCCAACAATTCCTCTGCAACTGTTGTTCTTCAGCATCCCTCGCTTCCTGCCAAATACCAGGGGGGGCAAGAAGTGGTGATGGGACACAGCAATCTGTAACAGCAGCTCACTCAAACACACTGACCTGAAAAAACAGCTTTTACATAAACGTACTGTCATAATTTGGAAATTCTAGTCTATATTGCTCTACCTTACTGCCATAGGAACGAAAATCTTTGCTAAGTGCTACTCCAGGCAGCTGTAAACATTTCACACTGTTTCATCTTCTTTCCAGGAAGGGAAGTAATTTCTCCTAATAGACTGGTATGTTTTTATCGTTATTATTCAGTCTGATTTGGACTGCTGCTCCCTCCACTAACGAAGAAGATTCCTTTATGAGGCTGCAGATAACATTCTCTAAGGAATCTGCATATATTTTGGTCTGATCTTGCTGAATTCATCTGATTGGTTCCTCTGAAAATAAGCCTAAAAACAAAATAATCCATTATCAATTATGTTCTCCCACCACTCCTTTTAATGTAAGCAGGCAGAGAAAGCATCACGAGTTATTTAAGTCACAGTGGAGAGTCTGCCCTTTCAGGGGGTCTGAAATCAAATTCTTCAGAAAAGATGTTGACTGGCTATCACTCTTGTGCTCTCATCAAAGCAGGACTTCTCCGACTGAGGAAATGTTGGGGCTTTAAGCCGAGCACCCAGATTTTCTGCCTGTCCCTGCTGAGCAAGAAATATCCCAGCCATGACTTAAAGAGAAGTGAAATGGGAAGAGGGGACAGAATTCCATGGCCCAAAACAAGACTGCTGGTAAACTGGAATTGTGTCTCATTTATAACGAGTACTTCTCCAGCCCACGAGCTGGTTGGTTCCCATTCTACATGCTTCTGCAGCAAGTCTGAGCTTCTAGCAAGAAGAAAAGAGACTGAATCGTCTTCATTCATCTAATACACGAAGAAAATTGCTCCCTTTTTGAACACGTACAACTAAATGCCTCAAGAAACTCACTAAGTTACAAAGTGAAGCAGGAGATAGAAAAATCTTTCTGTCTCTGGCTTTTATTCCCTGAAGATACAAGTTGCTTCAAACGTTTCAAGGCAGGAAGCAGAATTTTGGGAACAGTATCCTGAGAAGTCAAACACAGCCTCAGGACAGAGTTAAAAAAAAAATAAATATAAAAAAATTGGACATTCATGTTAATCACATTCTGATTCTGAGTTGAGCATTTCCCCAAACACCCCGACTCTCTATGGTGGAGGTCTGGCAGCCGAATGCTACAGTGGAGGCTAAAAACACAGGACAGGACTTCAGGGCATGGCAGATGAAGTTCTACTGGAAATGATCTATAAAAAGAAGAATAAACTAATTCTAAAAAAAACATGGAGGGGGAGAATCTGATTATTTTTATTTTTTTTTGTAATTAGAGGAGCAAGCAGTTCAGTAAATTCCTATCACCTGCATAAGGGAATAATAAGAACCAGGACTGAAGGCAAAGCTAAGGAAGAGAGACTACGTACTCCATACAAGTTTTGCTAAAAATATACTCTGGATAATGATTTTTAATTTTTTTTGTAATTAGAGGAGCAAGCAGTTCAGTAAATTCCTATCCACTGCATAAGGGAATAATACAAACCAGGACTGAAGGCAAAGCTAAGGAAGAGAAACTACGTACTCCATACAAGTTTTGCTAAAAATATACTCTGGATAATGATTTGGAACCCTTCAAGAGTATCAACCTAAAGCAAGCAAGGCAATAAATATCTATCCTCTAAATTGTCATTCCTAAAATACATGCTTGGCAAATAAAAAAGGTAAAGTACTGCATTTATGCCTTCTGAGGTTGGAGTAACAGCTGCAGGCTTTTCAGATCTCTTTTCCAGAGGCTGCCAAGAGACAATACGATTGCTGATTTGATGAGCAGATAACAGCTAAGGATTTTGTCTCCAAGGACAGGTGCTTCAATCCATGAATCTATCAATTCATCAATACTTTGTAAGACTCTTTGTCTTTAAATGTAGCTCCAAAGCAGAGTGACTACAGAATGCTCAAATATTCTCTATTCTTATTCTTGGAGTAACACCAACGGCTTTCTCTCCTCCTCTCTGTGAAATTTCAGTCCAAATCAAAGAATTGCAAGGATCTTTGATTAATGTGAAATCTGGGATTTTTACTACCCATGGGCACGGTTGTTAGGACATACTGGCAAGGCAAAAAATAAAGAACAGACAATTACAAAAATCTTTGCTTCTCCTCCTCGGATAGCTGACATACAGCCAGAAGTACCAGCATGTAAAAGGAGTAGCAGTGTCCTTGTATTCAGAGAGACAGCTGCAGATTAAGTCAAATAAGGAACTTTCAGTGAATATATACCACAGTGATTTTATTAACACCACATTAAACTGTAACAACCCCTACTACCAAACACTTTACCTGTAGCAAAGCACTCTCCTCCCCCTCAGAGGGGAGAAACACAAACTTTTTGAGGGTGTCCGAGGACAAATAAATAATCAGGTGGGACAAAAATAATTTAAACAACATGTCTTTAGAAATGGATGCCTTGTTCTTTCTCCTTCACGTGCCCGTGCATACATACCACGTGCAGCTTTATGTGGAGAAGAAAAACAGGCAGCCCCTCAGAGAGGAAACACAAACTTTTTGAGGGTCTCTGAGGACAAATAAATAATCAGGTGGGACAAAAATAATTTAAACAACATCTCTTTAGAAATGGATGCCTTGTTCTTTCTCCTTCACATGCCCGTGCATACATACCACGTGCAGCTCTATGTGGAGAAGAAAAACAGGCATTGCAGCTTCAAGGAGCTCACAAATTTCTCACATTAGGGAAATAAAACTCCATGGGCAGTCTCTAATCATTCCTGAAGCCTCTGAAAGACCTACTATTATTATTATTACAAACAGCAGGTGGAAGAGGAAAGCTCTCACACTTAGAATGCAGAGCAGGGAAGATACAGCTGCAAAGTGAACCTTGGATTCCAAACTCTGCAGCTCTCCATAGGCAGTAGCAGGCACAAATGCAGCATCTGCTTTTCTCTGCCTATCTGGCAACTCAAAGAGCTTACTTTGGCAAGTGAGATATCACTCAGTTCAACAGCCTGGGGTGAAGGAATCTTTAAAAAGACTCAGAACACAGAAGTTGCAGATGAATCAACTGCGTTTCTTGTGTTCGATGCAAACATAGACCCACCAGCAGTGAAGGAGGAGCTGGTTTGCAAACTGTCACAAGAGCTTGACCCATACAAATCAATGGGCACCAACATTATCCACAGCAGGGTGTTAAGAGCCACCTGATGTCCTTGCAAGGCCACTCTCCATAATATTTGAGAAGCTGCTGAGATTGCGGGATGTTCATGGAATGAATCAACTGCGTTTCTTGTGTTCGATGCAAACATAGACCCACCAGCAGTGAAGGAGGAGCTGGTTTGCAAACTGTCACAAGAGCTTGACCCATACAAATCAATGGGCACCAACATTATCCACAGCAGGGTGTTAAGAGCCACCTGATGTCCTTGCAAGGCCACTCTCCATAATATTTGAGAAGCTGCTGAGATTGCGGGATGTTCATGGAATGAAGCCTCCCGGGCGCTATCACAAGTCAAAGGGAGCAACGTGATCAGGAAAAGCCAGTATGGATTCACCAAGGCCAAAATGTACTCATCAAACCTGATCATTCTTTTTAATCTCCAATTAAATCTCTAGTCATCAGATGCTCATAAATCTCTCTTGACCATATGCATCATATGCAATCAGTTCTTCACAACACTAGGACACGTGTTACAACAGCAGCTTGAATGTTACTTTTACTCTTAAATAAACTTCATGGTTGGAACAGGTTGCAGAGAACAGACACACAAATAGCAAAGTTTCAATAGTCATTAAATCCCTTCTCTAGAGAGAAGGGTCCACTTAAAAAACGAATAAATCATTATAGCTTCTAGCTAAAGTCTAATACATTCCCCCTCTCAGTCCAAGTTAGAATCCAGAAATCGTTTCACAAAGCAATAAGGAAGCTACTGTTTCCGTACAAAAGCATCCCAGGAAAGGCTCATCAAGTTTTCTATCAGGGAACCTTGTAAAAACCTCAAGTCATACAGCAACTGACTATACATTTTGATTTTAGAGATACCCTCAACAATGAACTCATTCTCTTCTTCAGCCCAGAGCATTTTGACCTCCGTCTCCTGGGGGAAATAGGTCCCCAGAGCCTGATACAGCAACTGACTATACATTTTGATTTTAGAGATACCCTCAACAATGAACTCATTCTCTTCTTCAGCCCAGAGCATTTTGACCTCCGTCTCCTGGGGGAAATAGGTCCCCAGAGCCTGGAGACATCCTCCACTGCCTGACTCCAATCTCATCCTGTGCCATTGATCTCTGAGAGTGAGAATGATTCACTCCACATGCACAAGTCAGAGAAACAGTGCTGCTTGAGCTCAGCGGGCTTTTTCTTCATATTCTTTAACTAACAGCTTTCCTGAATCCTACAATAAAGACTCACAATGTTTTAATCACATGCCCTAATAAACACAGTATCTGCAGTCTAAATACATTAACAGAAATAGCAGACATACAGTCCTTTTTTTGCCTGCCCAACTTTCCTGTTATCCGTATTAGGGATTCATGCTCTAAACACATTAGGCTTAAATTCTCATTTTAAGCATCTTTAAAGTGGTAAAAAAAATATGCAATATGTCTTTAAGACATGTTCCAAATCTAAATAGGGTACATTAATATCCTAACTCCTCCAGAGTAACACTTTGCACTAACAGTTTTTTTCTGAAATTATTCCATATGATACATACTGATTCTGAAGGTTAAAAAATGTAAGTTCTGAGGAAGCATCAAGTTCTAAAGCTAAGGCTGTACGCTGAAGACCAGAACTGGTGCAGGCAACAGGAAAGCTGTTTGTTCTCTTGCTACTGCAACAGAGTCAGAAATTATTTCAGAAACTTACCATTTTGCAAGCAGAATCTCGGACAGATCTTGTTCAAGAGAAGTTCCTGACGTAATCGAAGAACTTCAGCCTCCAGTGCTTCAGCTTTTGATTTCCATCCAAAATCTTGTTCGGACAGAGTTTTGGCAAGGTGCTCAGTGTATTCTCTGCAACTCTTCCCTGGTGGTTTTGAGTGGATAATTGCAAAAGCCAAGGCTAGTTTTGATATTTTCAAATACCAAACTTGATTTTCTCTTCCGCCTTTGATTTCTATTTCATTAGAAAAAAAAATTAGAAAACAAAAAAGTAATTTCACTATGACTCTATGAAGCAAATTATGCACAGTATTTTCTTGGCTTTGAGAACTGTTCAACAGGGAGACCAATTATTTTATTTCTAGTGCATTCTTAAATCACCAAGAAAAAGAGTAGAAATATAGGCATCCGTGCATAACGTGAGAATAAAACATACATGAGCTGCACTCAAGCCTGCAGAAAAGCTAATAAAAGGTTAAGTCTTCAGAAACTGGAATTTAAGATCTATACCTGCTGCTTAAAGCGGCCACGCATTAACTAAACATTACTTTTTGTAAAATTTCTTACTTGTAGAATTCTCTCTCACAGAACTTTTCCATTCGTACCTAAGAACTCCAGTGAAAAAACAGAAGTTAATTTTCTCAGCCTCAAAGGATCAGCACCTCTGTGGGACAACAAACCCACCTAAGGCTCTTGTTTCCCTTTGACATCAAAGGAAATGTTTTTGTAAAATACAAATACAGACCCATGCAAGTAATTGAACTCACCTAAGGCTCTTGTTTGCCTTCGACATCAAAGGAAATGTTTTACAAATACAGACCCATGCAAGTAATTGAACTGCCTTCAAAGCTGGGAATAAAATGAAACACACGGAACCACACTGAAAGAAGAGTAAGTGGTAACAGTAAGGGATCCAAAATCTTTGGCTTTGAACCTGAAAGGTGCTCCCCAGACTATCTCATCTTCTTAATCGAAGTTTCACCCAGATATCACTCAAACAGCGTCTGTCGAGCTTCATTCTTTCAAAGTTCCTTTGCAGGGCAGAGCCACAAATGAAGGAAGGCAGAAAGATGTCTCACAAATGGCTTTCACTGCTGGTTTATCATTATGGTATCTCCAGAGAGTACTTTGCAAAAACTTTCTGATTCACCTCCTTTTAAAAAAGGACAACTAAAGATTTGCTTTGTGCTTTATAACATGCTTTGTCAGTATTGGCATTTTCCTTTAAATTAAATTCAGGGACCAACATTCCAGTATGGGTCAGGAGATGGCATTTAATTTCAGCATTTCATGAATGGTCAGGTGCTTTTTATTATACTAGAGTCACCATCAACACCTATTTTTCAATTATGATTGGTTTATTTCTACTCACGACATACCATTACAAAGAAAAACCAAAGTTACCTGTTTGACCACTGATACTTTACCACTATGTTCTTCAGAAATCTCAGCCCACAACTCTAAATCAAATGTTTTAGAGGAAAAAAAAAATCCCCAATAAAAATAATGTAGTAAATAGACTAGTATTACAAGGACGTAGAATGGGAATAGTTGAGGCTAAACTTTTACAACTGAAGGAAATTTAGAAGTGTGGATTGTTACTTCAGTAGTATTTTATCACTTATAACCAAACTAAAGAAAGTCACTTTTCTACTTTGTTTTAAAGAGGACTACTGGATTTTAAGCAGAGCAAAAACCTTAGTGCACATGCTAATAATACACCACAGCCAAGCAAAAGGTTCTTTCACCCTCAACATGCCAAAATGATATTCCCTAAAGGAGATGTATCTCTAGAAAATCACAAAAAACATGGTATCTCTCCTAATTTTGTTTTAAATCACAATCATAAAAATCTAAAATAGGATTGCACCTTAACACTTAGGACATACAATTACGTCATGGAATTTGGATTCTGACAGAGGCTTTTTTCTCTTTAACATCTTGTACAGACTCACTTCCACAGTTGTAGTGTCTTACACTGAATGAGTTTAATGAGGTAATTCTTACTCTGGAGAAAAAGAATCACTCCTTTTCTGGAATAATTACTTATATAGCTGCTGTTAAAAAAAAAAAAAAGCAGTACAGTTGGTTCTCCTTAGGAACAAGACACAATCAAAGATGGTTTTGCAGAAGTAATTCTGTTGGAATCTTAAAATCCCTTGTTTAATATTGACAAATAGTGATATACCCGCACGTATTTCCAGAAACAGTGGATTACATAAAGATTTTAGAGAGAATATACAGCTCTTTCACCTCCTTTCTATTACTATCATTGTCACCATCATCATCTCTCTTCTCTTTTCTTCTTTTATGATCATGAAAAGAGAAGTTTGTGGAACAAAAAAGCAGGAATTGTAAGAGCTGATTCAAGTTTTTCCACAGTTCCCTAGAGGGACAACTGCTCTCTTAGAGAATATACAGCTCTTTCACCTCCATTCTATTACCATCACTGTCACCATCATCATCTCTTTTCTTCTTTTATGATCATGAAAAGAGAAGTTTTTGGAACAAAAAAAGCAGGAATTGTAAGAGCTGATTCAAGTTTTTCCACAGTTCCCTAAAGGGACAACTGCTCTCTCAGAAACCACTGTTAAGAGAAGTTTGTGGAACAAAAAAGCAGGAATTGTAAGAGCTGATTCAAGTTTTTCCACAGTTCCCTAGAGGGACAACTGCTCTCTCAGAAACCACTGTAAAAAAAAAAATCTCTTAGAAAATAACATAGCAGATGACATTATTAGAAATATGGGGATGCTGGCCAACTGTGCATTAGCAAAAATTGCCCAGCAATCTGTTGCTCTCAGGAAGTGCTGCACCAAAGACCACCAAATGAGAATGCATTCCACTAAAAGCATATTGGCAGCTACAGAGTTTTATCAATAATAGTTTTGCTCATATCAGCACAGAAATGACACCAATGGTCTGGTAGAAAAAAAGGTCTAGAGCTAAATCAGAAATTTTCCTTGATTTGGAATAGCACCAGGACAAGAGCAGAAAGAAGTCACCAGTCTATTGCTAGTTGCTAATGGCAAAATAATGTCTGACAGGAACCAGAAAGAACAAGAATTATCCACCCAAACACATCCAGGACCCAAATTCCTCAGCAAGAATAACTACTTGCTAATCAAGCTCCATTTGTGCATTTACTTAGCGTTAAGGCAACCAGTAACCCCTCGTGAGCCCTGCTAAGAGGGCTACTGACAGATACCATCCATGCCCAAGTTTCCTAGTGAACTCCCTTAGATATAAACACAATAACAGAAAGAATCAGGGTAAATCTGATTTATAAACACTACTTTACACTATCAACCTACCAGTCCAGCTGGTTTGTAATTGCACTTGATGCAGCAGCTGGTATTACACCCCTAACTACAGCAAGCTACTTTTCTGGAAAGTTTTACCTTGTTTTTGACACTGTCTGCAACATGTGAAGAGGAAATAATTCACACTAATTAGAAAAAAAACACCCAAAACACTATCTTCAGATTATCACCTTTTAAGTTTGTTTTCTCCTCAGCCGGAAACTTTATATATTGAACTTCATTCTAAAGGTTTCACATTATTGGTTAAAAAAAAAACAACCCTGAATTCAAATCATTGATTGGTATTAAAAAACTGAAAACATTCATTAAAGCCATGAAACTTTCATCTAAACTTAAACCATTCATTAAAGTAATTTTAACAAGTTATAAAAATCTCCTCTTTCCAAAAAAAAAACCTGCAACCCCACAAAAAGGCAGTTTATGCCCCTGGCTAGTTAGCAGTCCCCCCACTTCCATACTGGTAATGTGCTGTCAAAGTCTGGGACCTGGGGTCAAACAGGTGACACCATCAGGAAACAAAAAATTCCCTGAGCCCAGTCCTGGCAGGAAAGCATCCCTCCTGCCCCTAGTGCTCTCCCAGCTGTCAGAAGATGCTCTTCTGCCTCTTACCTCTTCATTGTTTCTCTTTTCACTGTTAAATATAAAAAAACAAGTCACAGAGCGATGGGAGAAGGGACATAAGTTCTACTGTGATTTAAAATTAGATGACACCTCAAAATAAAACAAAAACCTAAACTTGTTTGAAATAATTCAAGACTTGAGTAATACTCGTTTGTGTCACAGGATTGCACACTTTAGGCATGATCTCTAAGTTTTCCCCTGAAATTCATGGCTAATAGCAGAAGAACCTTCCTCCAATGTCACAGACAAAACCTTATTGCTTACAACAGGACATTTATTTGTTATTCAGATCATTATAATCTGAGATTGAACATTTTCAAAAATAATAGAGGAAGACACAGAATAGACTGTAACTCATTTAACCTCCAGGCCATTCAACGGCTCAGTTTCCTTCACATTTGAAATAGATGGGACATGTGAAAGGATTTGTCAGGACAGAAAAAAATTGCCACTCACCACTACTATACAGCTAAAAATCTTCAGACAGTCCTAAATATGAGTATGTAGCAAATAAAAAAAAAAGTTTTCCTTCTATATTTAGTGTATGGTCTGTCTTTAATGGCACCAACATAATAGGAAAAACTGTTTTGTTGCCATGATTTTTACTTTAATCTGCCAATTACACACTGCAGATAAAGGTGAAAAAATTACCCCCATCTTTGTAACCTCGTTCTGCATTATACAATAACCATTATACAACAGCAACCAAGATATTGACCCGTTTTAATGGAACACAAAAAGGGTCAGAAAATGATGTGAGTGCTCAACGGAACTGAGCTGAGCTGCAGACACATTAGGCCGTAACATTAAGCAACAATAAAATAAATTTGATTTAATTGGTATGCCTAACATAATACTGTCTTTTGTGTATATAATAAATAACGATAATGGGACAGCTGCATAATCAAGATGAACTAAAGTATGCCTTGTGTTCCAATTAAGCAGCTTTTATTGTAAAAATGTATATTACACCAAGGCTACTCCAAAGTGTCATTTTTAAACAATCTATACTATATATCTATACTATATCTATACTATAACACACCAAGATATGTAATGTTGACATACTTACTGAGGGAAACATAACACACAAAGGTATGTAATGTTGACATACTTACTGAGGGAAAAACTCCGTTTTACTACCACAAGCCTAAAGAATACCTCCAGCATACTCTTTTTTTTTCCTCTTTTTTAAAATGGGCTCAAATGTTTTACTACCGCAAGCCTAAAGAATACCTCCAGCATATTCTTTTTTTCCTCTTTTTTAAAATGGGCTCAAAATGCTAAGATGACA